GGAAGGAAAGGGTTTCTAAGCCCTGGGTGGCTGTTTTGCAGGAGACCTGGACACTGTGTATTTTATAAACAAAACATTACTCAACTCTCAAAGCATTCCCTTGTGCAAGTACCCTTGAACCCATTTAAAAACCACTGACTTATGCTAACTGTACATATTTATAGGGCACAGGATGATTTCTGTGGAGACAGGGCTTTACTGTGTAAACCAGCCCAGCCTTGAACTTGCTGTACAGCCCAGGCTGGCCATGGATTTGTGCGGATCCTCCTGCCTCAGCCCCTGGGTGCTGGGATCACAGATGTGTGCCATCATTACACACAGCTACAATGTGATATTTTGATACACGTGGACGAGGTGCCATGATCAAATTAAGATAATCAGCATATCCATTGCCTTAAATGAACTGAGTGTTCCTGTGTGTTGGGGACCTCAAAATCTTTTCTAGCTATTTTGAAATATATCATCAATTAGTAGCTGTGCACTTAGGACATTCAATCCTCCTGTCTCAGCCTCCCAGAGTGCTGGGAGTATAGGCACCTTGCCACCATGCCTGGTGCGTCTAACTGTGTTTTTGTACCTGCTATTCAACGTTCCTGATTCTTCTCTCTGGTCTCTGGTAACCACTGTTCCATCCTCTGGTTTTGTGACACCGACGTTGGTGGCTTTCACATGAAGAACTCAATTCACAGAGGAGGAGGTGAGCTCAGGGAGGGCGAGGTGTAAATGAGGTGTAAATCTGGCATCCCCTGGCCAGCTTTAGTTTCGCTCAGCCAGCTCCATGTCTGAGATTAAGATTTGATTAAATCCTAGCCCGGTGGTGGTGGGCTGGGGAGAGGGCTCACCATGCCTCCACACCCATTTCCTCACCCTGCCTGGCCAGGAGGGGGAACAGGACAAAAGAAGGAAACCCCCAAACTCTGAGGAAGATACACCAGCCCCAGGCTCAGGTCCTGAACTGTGCCTTGGTTCTGGGCTGTTGAACGCAGGGTCCAGATTTTAGTTCTGCTTTGCCAAATCCCCTAGGACCGTGGACATTTCTTTCCGCATCTGGGTCCCAATCTCTTCTTCTACTGGCAACTGCCATCTGTTGAGATTTCTAGGAAATCAGTCCATCGATCAAGGCTCTAGCTAGTTCTTCTGTATCTGCCTGCTTTTGTTTCATACACTTCTTGTTTCTTGGTTATGCTCCTTTATCTTTCTGAATAGATTCACTGTAAAGCTCACGTACAGTTTCGCTGAGCTTCTGGTTTCCTTAGGCATCATCCTTAGGCATCCGCGGGGTGGGAACGCCATGAACTGGCCGTGAACCCTCATCGTCTCCTAGGTTATTTATCCTTGGCTGGAATCTTCTGAACTGTGTACTCCTGGCCTCCCACATTAGGGGACCCTGAACGTGTGTGTGTGTGTGTGTGTGTGTGTGTGTGTGTGTGTGTGTGCTGTGGCCTTCATCACTGGCATTTCCTCTCCGTCTGATCTCAGATTCAAGTTAGCGTTTTCTTTCACTCCTCAGCAGTGGGAGCCCGCTGGCGGGCTGGGTCCCCACTTGCTCCGCCATCTTGGATGGAAATTCAGTGTCACTGTCTTACGTGGAGACAGCGGTGTGGAGCTGCTTGACAAGGCCTTCCAGATATTTCCAGCACAGACAGCACAAGGGTCAGGCAGCGGGAATCCAGAGGGAGAGAGCAGCAACAGCGACCACCATGAATAAAAACAGACCCAGAGATTATGGACTGTTGTTGTATGCCGGTGCCTGCCGCGTATGATTTCATGTCCTCTTCTGCAGTAGCCTGCGTGGGAGCTGCCACCGAGACGCCATAGAGGTGGCCGCGTTTCCCAAGCGCACTCAGGAGACTTATGATCCTTTGTTTGTCCAGTGTGGTGATTGAACCCAGGCCTTTGCCCTGCATGGCATCCCTGATCCTCTTTATTTTACCTCACTAAGTGCCCAAGCAGGCCGTGAACGTGTGAGCTCCTGCTGGGGTTGCAGGTCTGAACCACGGCTGGCTCCTGACTTAGCTGAGGGTTTTCTGGTGGGTTGTCCCCTCCTATGGAGCTCGACCTCTGTTTTCTGGAGATGCTATGTAAACTCAGTGCTGAGTCCTCCGTGGGGACATCCAGGAGGGTTTCGGGTGGTGCCTTAGGGAACTCGTGGGCTCTGGGGCCCTTGGTACTCGCTGCAGGCTGTGCTGTCTCAGGCAGGTCCTTTGCCCTCTGGGAGTCTTGGTTTCTTTTTTCTTGTTGTTCAGTCAGGCCTGCAATTGTACTGGTGGGTGGTGGTGCGTGGAGAGAGAGTGGCACCGTGTGTACCTGGTGTGCGGTAGGTGTTGGAGATGAAGGTATGTGAGCCTTGGATAGAAGTACCTTGCCACTCGGTATTCATCCAGAGGAAGTGGAATTAGCAAGCAGGAAAGCCATCTGCACAGAGTTTATTACGGCACTGTTCAAAATGTGGACTCGGCCTACATGTGGAAGGCATTGCTGAAAATGGGGTGAACACATGAATGGATGAGGGACATATGGCATCCATATCTGATGGAATACTACTCAGCCGTAACAAGGAATGAAATCCTGACCTCATAAACCAGGGAATCCGGGTTTGTGATGAAGAAATATACCAGCCAGAGAGACAAATACCACTTGATTGCCCTCATGTGGATTCTAAAAATAAAGCCAATTGCCTAGAAATTGAGAGTGGATTAGTGCTTACCAGAGGGTGGAGAAGGGAGAGGGGTCAAAGGGATGACAAGGGTTGGTTGCCTTTGGAGAAAGGAAGAGGTTCTGAGCTTCTGTCACTCAGCAGGGTAAGCATCATGTGTGTTTCAAAAGTGACTAGAATAGCCAGGTGTGGTGGCTCACGCCTGTTATCCCAGCATGTAGGAGGCTGAGGCAGGAGGATTGTTGCAAGTTTGAGATTAGTCTGAGCTACAAAGTGAGCACAAGGCCAGCCTGAACTGCATGGCGAGACCTTGTCTCTAAAAGAAAAAAAAAAAGGTAACTAGACTAGAGGGTTCTGGCTGCTCCACTAGGAAACATAACTAGCAGAATGCGAGGGTGTGAGCTAGGGATGTGTTAATGGGCTGAGTGATCCTTCCACGGGGTATTATTGTGTGAAAATGCTACACTGCCCGCACCCAGTCTGCACAACTATTGTGTCCTGAAAAAAAAAAAAGCCTAGGAAAAGAACAACCTTCTAACAGGAAGTGATCCAGGGCTGCTCAGGCACTCACCGCTGAGCCACGCCTGCACTGGGCTTGCAAAGATGGATTTTATCTCCATTCGAGGCACTGCCCTCCCCCAGCTCACCCTGTCACACAGGGACTGGTTTTGGAAGGAGAGAGCTCCCCGTCGCTCTGGGGAACCAAGTGGAGCTCTGATTGTTCACCTTCTAGAGAGGCTCCGGAGGAAGAGGAGGAGGAGGAGGAGGAGGAGGAGGGAGTTGGCCTGGGTAGCCTCTCAGGGAAATCCTTTCTTGTCCTGTCTCCTGGCCCCCTCTGGCCAGCTCGTCCCCTCATCTGCCCTTCCTCACTGACCACCGGAAGGCCCGGTCCAGCCCACAATTCACCTTCTTTAAATAAATGCGGGCGGCAGTGCTATCTGCTGCACCATCTGGGTTCCTGTATAGGTGTGGGGGGCCATGTGGGGGGGGGGCTGGCGAGCTCAGCAGGGAACTTGGTATCAAGGGGGGCTTTCTCTGCCTCATGGGCTTGGCCCGAGTGGTCCCAGAATGCTGCTCAGCCTGTCCTCCTCCTCCCTGACCACCTGCCCAAACTCAAGTCTTCCTCCTGATTGACTTTTTTGTCTTTTTGAGACAGGGTTTCCCTGTGCAGTTCAGGCCGGCCTTGAGCTCACTTTGTAGCCTAGGCTGGCCTTGAACTCTCAGTCATCCTCCTGCCTCAGCCTCCTGAGTGCTGGGATGACAGGTGTGCACCACCACATTAGGCTGCCTGGCTTTCTTTCTTTGTTTCTTTCTTTCAAACATGTGGCTGGAGAGAAGCCTAGGATGGGCACAATATTATTTTTCCAAAGAGGCTGTCAGCGAACACATGGGCTGTTGGATGATATCTTAGTCCTTTCTCTGTGGCCCATTCTGGGTAATCTACAAGGAACAGAGATTTATTTACCTCATGGCCATGGGCGGGAGGAGTCCTTGAGGCTGGTGCTGGCGTCGGTTTGGATCATCTTGTTGGACAGGAATATGGTAGAGGCCATCCCAGCACTCGTGGAGGCTGAGGCAGGAGGATCGCAAGTTTGAGCTCAGCCTGGGCGACCTAGCAACTTAGTGAGACCCTGCCTGAAACAAAAATTAAAACAAGCCTCAGCGTAAAGACTCTGGGTTCAGTCTCCAGCATGCAAAAATATGGTGGAGGGCAGTGTTTGCTGAAAAAGAGTGAAAGTTCTCTTTTATTACAAAACCACCGCTTCGATAACCTATCAATCCATTCATCCATCGGTGGATTAGCCTGCTCTCGAGGGAAGATCTCTTAGGACTCAGTTGCTTCCCAAATACCTCATCTTCAGAGACCACTAGCATATGAGGCTGGAGGTTCAGTTCTCGACGTGTGAGATTTGGGGGCTACATTTACACGGGGAGGCAATGATGCACCGGTGAAGCGGGCAGAGGAAGGACAGTTTGCAGGGGCGGTGGGTGGACATTGAGGGGGCGGGTGATAACTGAGGTGGTGGGGGGTGAGTGGGCGGATGAGTGGTGGACTGGAGTTGGGTGGGAGGCAGGGAAAGAAAGGGGCGTGGCACAGCTGGATGAACACGCGGGCAGAGCCTCTGACACGCAGAAGGCTTGTTGGATATGAACAGGCAGTTGTAAAGCTCTGGCTGCAGAAGGTGATCTTGGGAAACCATCTGGGCAGGGTCCAGATGAGCATCAGCTTGTTTTCTTACCCTTGACCTGATTGATTAGCTCCCACTTAACACATCCTCTCCTCCTAGGGCGGCCTCTCGGTCTGCAGGAAATTCACCCTGGAACTCAGGCGGAGGACTCCTAGGGCGGCCTCTCGGTCTGCAGGAAATTCACCCTGGAACTCAGGCGGAGGAAGCTGAGCCCTTGGCTTGTTCGCTGACTTGAGTGGTAAGGAGCCGCCCTGCAGGGAACCCCTGTCCTCTGAAGACGCAGGGTCCCCGTGGTGACTGTGGATGTCTGGGTGCCTTTGCACCCCATGGTTTTGTTCTGGGGCTCAGCCCCTAACCCTAAGCCTAACCCTTTCCCTCCCTGGCCCCCCCACTGTCTCCCCGCTGCCTGCCTGCCCCCACCCCTCCCTACCCCTTCTCTTGGTGACCTTAGTGAAAGGGAGGGCCATCGAGGGCGTCTCCAGCCTGGTCCTGGACCTCTTTCCTCTCCAGGGCGCCCAGGCAGCCATGGATGTGGGGCTCTTGGGCCTGCCGGATGCACCTGGGGTTCCCGGAAGGACGCTCTGGGGGACTCGGGGCCGGGGCCCAGCCGTGCGTCGGCGGCAGCGAGAGTTCATGCCGGAGGAGAAGAAGGACACGGTTTACTGGGAGAAGCGGAGGAAGAACAACGAGGCGGCCAAGAGGTCCCGGGAGAAGCGACGTCTCAACGACGCGGCCATCGAGGGCAGGCTGGCCGCGCTGCTGCAGGAAAACGCCCTGCTCAGGGCCGAGCTGCGGGCTCTCAAGCTTCACTTGGGGCTCCTGCCGTCCCTTGGGGGTCCCCAAGTCTCGCCTCTGCAGGCTGTGCTGTGGGCGCCGCGCTGGCCCGGGGACTCGCCCCCCGAGGCTGACCCAGTCCTGCCGCTGCCTGGCTCTCACTGCTGTCCCCTGAGCCCGTGTTCTCTGGACGCCGGGATTCCAGGGTGCCGAGGCTGCCTGCTGGCTCCCGGGTGGCCCGGCCTGGCTGCTGCTCCCAGGATCTCCCAGGAGCCCGCTGCTCCTGCCCGCAAAGGAACTGACCGGAACTTGCAGGCTGCCGTCCCCACCGCCTGCTTGGGCTGCCATCTCTTGGACGGGCACCTGTGGCCCGGGCTGGAGCTGAAGCCTTGCTGGGGGCTGTGGTCCCCCGTGCACCCCGCATGCCGGGCCTCGGGGCCCTCGGAGATGTTCCTGAGGCCCTCTGCGGATCCCACTGCGATTTCTCCGGGGGTGACCGGCCCCATCCCAGGGAACGGTCCTGAGGGGATGGCTCAGCCCTCCCTGCCCCACAAGCTGCGCATCAAATCCCAGGCTTTGGGCAGGGTGTGCTGAGGCTGCAGGGCAGCCGGGGGTCCCTCGGAGGGCTTCCCCTCGGCAGGCCCAGGCCCGCAAGAGGGTGGCTGGCATTGGGCCTTGCTTTGTTGGACGGGTAAATGGCTTGGCCTTGGCCAGCTTGGAGAGCTCAGGAAGGCCTGCAGGGAGCGGGGGCTGTCCTGCCTGGGACGGTCCACTTCCCAGGGTCCAGAGCAGGAATCCAGGCAGAGGGACACCGTCCCATCTTGGTTTCTGTCGTAGCCTTACCCTGCCTTGAAAATCTGTGCTTTGGGTTATACTTTCCTCCCTCCTTCCATTCATGTGTTCCGTTGCCATCCCTCCATCCATCCCTCCATCCATCCCTCCATCCCTCCCTCCATCCCTCCATCCCTCCATCCATCCCTCCATCCATCCCTCCATCCCTCCATCCCTCCCTCCATCCCTCCCTCCATCCCTCCATCCCTCCATCCATCCCTCCATCCATCCCTCCATCCATCCCTCCATCCATCCCTCCATCCCTCCCTCCATCCCTCCATCCCTCCATCCATCCCTCCATCCCTCCATCCATCCCTCCATCCATCCCTCCATCCCTCCATCCATCCCTCCATCCATCCCTCCATCCTCCATCCATCCCTCCATCCATCCCTCCATTCATCCATCCATCCTCCATCCATCTCCTCCATCCATCCATCCCCCATCCATCCATCTCCTCCATCCCTCCATCCATCCCTCCATCCATCCCTCCATCCATCCATCCATCCATCCATCCATCCCTCCTATCCCTCATCCCATCCATCCCTCCATCCATCCTTCCATCCCTCCATCCATCCCTCCATCCCTCCCTCCATCCCTCCATCCCTCCATCCCATCCCTCCATCTCATCCCTCCATCCATCCCTCCATCCATCCTCCATCCCTCCCTCCCTCCATCCCTCCATCCACCCTCCATCCCCCAGCCACCTCCATCCAACCCTCCACCCTCCCTCCATCCCTCCATCCCTCCATCCATCCCTCCCTCCATCCCTCCATCCCTCCCTCATCCTCCCTTGCCATCCCTCCATCCATCCCATCCATCCCTCCATCCATCCCTCCATCCATCCATCCATCCACCTCCATCCTCCATCCTCCCTCCATCCTCCATCCCTCCATCCATCCCTCCACTCTCCATCCCTCCATCCTCCCTCATCCCTCCATCCATCCCTCCATCCCTCCATCCCTCCATCCATCCCTCCATCCATCCTCCATTCATCCCTCCATCCCTCCATCCATCCCTCCATCATCATCCCTCCATCCATCCCCTCCCTCCATCCATCCCTCCATCCCTCCATCCATCCCTCCATCCATCCCTCCATCCCTCCTCCATCCCTCCATCCATCCCTCCATCCCTCCATCCATCCCTCCATCCATCCCTCCATCATCCATCCCTCCATTCCATCCCTCCCATCTCCATCCATCCCTCATCCCTCCATCCATCCCTCCTCCATCCCTCCATCCCTCCATCCATCCCTCCATCCCTCCCTCATCCCTCCATCCCTCCATCCATCCCTCCATCCATCCCTCCATCCATCCCTCCATCCCCATCCATCCATCCATCCCTCCATCCATCCATCCATCCCTCCATCCATCCCTCCATCCATCCTCCCTCCATCCATCCCTCCATCCCTCCCTCCATCCCTCCATCCCTCCATCCATCCTCCATCCATCCCTCCATCCCTCCATCCATCCCTCCATCCCTCCCTCCATCCCCCATCCCTCCATCCATCCCTCCATCCCTCCATCCATCTCACCCTCCATCCATCCATCCATCCCTCCATCCTCCCTCCATCCCTCCATCCTCCCTCCATCCCTCCATCCATCCCTCCATCCCCTCCCTCCCTCCATCCCTCCCTCCCTCCTCCTCCCTCCTCCCTCCCCTCCCATCCCTCCATCCATCCTCCATCCCTCCCTCCATCCATCCCTCCATCCTCCCTCCATCCCTCCATCCATCCCTCCATCCCTCCTCCATCCCTCCATCATCCCTCCATCCCTCCATCCATCCCTCCATCCATCCCTCCATCCCTCCCTCCATCCTCCCTCCATCCCTCCATCCTCCATCCATCCCTCCATCCTCCATCCATCCCTCCATCCATCCCCCCTCCCTCCCTCCATCCCCCTCCCTCCCTCCATCCCTCCATCCATCCCTCCATCCCTCCCTCCATCCATCCCTCCATCCCTCCCTCCATCCCTCCATCCATCCCTCCATCCATCCCTCCATCCCTCCATCCATCCATCCCTCCATCCCTCCCTCCATCCATCCCTCCATCCATCCCTCCATCCCTCCATCCCTCCCTCCATCCCTCCCTCCATCCCTCCATCCATCCCTCCATCCATCCCTCCATCCACCCCTCCATCCATCCCTCCATCCATCCCTCCATCCCTCCCTCCATCCCTCCATCCATCCCTCCATCTATCCACCGGCCAATTCATCCATCTATTCATCAATCTGCCTACTTGCCCTCTCTCTTTCCTTCCCTCATTCAGCCTACCCATCCTTCACATCACCTCCCTTTCATCCACCATCCACCCATCATCTTTTCTTTTCTTTTTTTGTGGGCACTGGGAATCAAACCCAGAACCTCATGCTTGCCAGGCAGGCCCTGAGCCCCTGAGCTGTATTTCTGGCCCCCTCGTCACCTTTCCATCTGTCAGTCCCTCCTGTAATCCGCACACCCCTCTGTCACCCCGTCCACCGTATTTCCCCCCACGTCTCTGGCTGCCCACCCATGCGTCCGCCATGGATGATTCACTCATCTGTCACTGTTCCATCTGCCCATTTCCCCATCTCTCCAGCCCTTCATTCCCCTTTCTTTCATATATTCATTTAATCACTCATGTTCATCATTAACTCATTTAGTTACGATCGCTCATGTCCTCATCACCAACACGTGATCTGGGACCCTTCCCTCTGTCCCCTCAGCTTGGTGACAAGTGTGCGGATGGCTTCCCAGCTTGACTTCCTCTCTGGGGACAGGCTTGGTGGGTCTGAGGAGAGACCTTCAGAGGGCCACACTGATGGAGGAAGTCATGTCTCAGGGTGTTTGAGTCCTCACGTCTTGGGGTCTTCTGGGGGACTTGCTTACCACCCAGTCTGGGGATCCAATGTGCCCCATCCAGATGGCTTCTTCTTGGTTTTGGGCCAGGGTCTCATTGGAATAGACTGGCCACATCCAAGTATGCGGGGTCAGGTCCTCTCCTTCCCCAGCTGCTCCCTGACATCAAGGACTGGGCGTATTCACTCCCAGCTGGGCAGAAGAAAGAGTCACCGGGCACGGAGGATCCCTCCCCCCCATCTCCTTGGCCAACTGGTCATCAGAGGGTATCGGCAGCCCCTCCAGTCTGGGAGATGGGCTAGTTCTCAGACATATTGGGTTTATCATGGTCTCAGATGTATACAGGCTGGGGACCTTTGCTGGTACCGCTGAACAGCACTGTGACCCCACACTTCCTGGGCACAGAAGTATCCCTGCCTGGCACCCCTTACTCAGAGCCAAGACGGGGCATGGTCAGGCTCCACCCCTGTGCCTGGCTGTCCTGTGGGAACAAAGAGCAAAGTCCTGGCCAGGTCTCCTGTCCTGTGGGTGGCAGTTTGACAATTACCCCAGGTGTCCAGCCAGCACCTGCCCTTTCCAGGGAGCTCACCATGGGCTCCAGGGCTGCCCGCAGGTGTGGCTGGGCTGAGGGTGTGGTGCTCTGATTTTCTCCTTGCCTTTAGGCCTGGTTTGGTGACTTAGGTCTCCTAAGAGTGCCCAGAGAGGTTGGAAGGAAGGTCTGTCGGTCAGGGGTCTCAGCCTGTCCCTCCCAGCCAATTCCTGCAGCTGGCAATGGGGTAGACTGTGCAGGGGGAGGTCCCAGCTGGCAGAGACCAGCAAATAAGAGAACGTTCACATCAGAAGGGCCACTAGCGTCTACCGAGCAGCCATCCTGTCTCTGCTTGAATACCTTTAGGGGCAGAGAACTCACTTCCTCTAAAATGAACTCACCATTTCCTCTCTTGAGCCAAAACTCACTTATTGCAGACATCTACCTCCGGTTTTGTTCTTAAGACACACTGGGTCCCCCGTCTCTGTTCCCTCCTTCCCCTCGGAGAAGGCTGGGACCATGGCTGAAGATCCTAGGTCCTCCTTTCTGAAGTGGACACCACCACACTTAGCTCAGATGGTCTGAGAGGACAAATCTCATTTGTTCTGTACACAGCACTTCATACCCAGCTCAGCATGCAGCCAGCATGTGACAAATGTTCTCTCCTCTTTCTCTCTTTCCTTCTAAAGAAAGTTCTCAGGTTCCCAGGCTCAGAGCAGGACTCTGTCAGGGGAATGTCTTCCTCTGCAAAATCCCTTCTCATTACCCTGGCCTGGCCCTTATTTGTTGTCAGTGCTATTTATATAGGATGACTCCTGGAACTGAATATGAATATCAGGCGTGTCATTAGATTCTAGAAGGAGCCAACTGTGGTCATGGGGGACCATGTGACCACGTACGCAGCTGTTACTGAATGCAGACGTGAGCTCAGGCTGTTCCTCCAGTACATATTTTCAACAAATAGTTTTTGAGCTCCTGCCATACTGGTGAGGGAAATAGTGGTCCAAACAGAGGGTTTGTGGGAAGGAGAAACCCACACAGATGTCTAGAACATTCACTCCAAGTGCGTTGATTATTCTTTCGTGTAGGATCATGGGCGAGTGTGGCCTCTGTTTTCCACGGTCCACTGGGGAGCTGGTAGTTCTCCAGGTCGGGTTCATAATTACCTCAGGGACTGGATGTTTGGACAGTGTGAGGCCCCATGTTACTCCTCCTGGTCCGCTCATCCTTCCAGGGTGCTGAGATGTTGCTGGATACGAATGCATGAGGTTCCCATCCTGCTTCAGGTGTATCTGAATCATGCAGAATGTGCAATAAACATTGAGTGAAAGTTTGTTCCTGTTCTGGTGGATTATTTCCTGGAGCAGGGAGCAAATCGGTTGCCGATACAGATGCTGTTACATTTCTCTGTCTTCTCTCCAAGGATTCTCAATCCCATCCTGACTGAACCCTGTGTTGTCTGTGTTCTCACCACCCACCATCGCCTCTTATTAGAAATGCAGAATCTTGTCCTTACAGAACAGCTGAATCACAATTTGCTTTTTATAAGAGTTCCAGTCAATCTGTATGCCCATTAGAGTTTGAGAAGTACTGGTCCAGGGTAGGAGCTGGCAGGCATTTCCTGTTTGGCCTTGAGGGACAGACAGCCTCTGTTACGACGACTCCTTTGGGCCATTGTAGCTTGAAAGCAGCCATAGACCACAGAGCAGTGGATAGACATAGCTGTGTTCCAATAAAACTTTATTGATAAACCCGGAAGTGGCCAGGCTTAGCCTGTGGCTAGAGCTTGCTGATCCCTGCTCCTGGCTGTAAGCTCAGAAGTGGAGTTATGCATTGTTTGTCTTCACTCTTGACATTACCAACTAGGTCTGCAGTGCTGCATTACCAGCTTTAACTCTCTGTTTGAAGGGAAGCTTGTGTTCATGTATTTTCCAGCATTTGGCTTTGGGTGGACTTTTTTTGGCTTTTGTAAATTGGCTGGGTGTAAGGTGGCTTTAACCTCCATTCTGCCACTGAATGTCTTTACCAAGAT